TCAAGAGCAAAATCCAATAATGTTAAGTCAAAGTGTTTGCCAAAAAGTCCTTACCTTTCTGGAATTATAATAGGTGGGATTAACTCAGTTAAATGGAAAATTCATCTTTATTTATTTACTCAACTCATGTCATAGTCACATTACATTTCAAATAATTAAGACCCCAACCAGAATCCAGTCTATGAGGTGTTAATGTAAGATATTTATTAGTGTAATTTATTTAGCACACTGATCACATTAAAATGTTCCAATATACAGACTACAGACATCTAAAGTTAAAAAAATACAAACTTAGGTGTATGAACAATGCTATAAAAATATTACTTAACAAAAGTTCTATGTCATCAACACTGAGCTGAGAGAGAAAGAAATGCGAGAGTGAGCAAGTGCACATATGAGAAACATATTTTCATGAAGCAACCAGTCTGGCTGCCTGACTGGTGACAGGCAGGGCCATTGAGTGTGGCCATCACGGCAGTGCGGCATTATGGGACTCAACACCTCTTATGAACCTCAAATTATTTCTTTCAAAATGAAACCATTTTTTAAGTAGAACAGATTAATATTAACAATATAAACCAAATTTTTGTTGGTTGGTGATAGCACATTTCAACAACTCTATAAATTCAAACTGGGGGGGAAGGGACAACTCAAAAAACAACAAGTTTCAAACAGAAAGAAACAATGGAAGAAAACAAATAAAAGTAGAGTAAATCAGTGTCAGTGATGGATTGTGAATGTGAGCCCCTGACTGTTTCATCAGAAGAGCTGTGTTCAGGTTCTCAGATGCATCTCACTTAGATAAAGTGCAATGACTAGTTAGAAATGAGAGGAGTTTTGAACACAATTTTAACAAATCAACATTATTAATTTGGTAAAGTTTCTAGGCCTGAATGAACAGCAGCTTGCTAAGAAACTGCACACCAATGAACAGAGTTCTTTTCTTTAAAGGTGCCCTATGTTAAGACTTCCTATCTTAGCAGCTGCACCTCCTTCAAGTGTCTTCTGTCTAGAACTCTTGCGAGGAATTCATGTCAGACAACTGGAAGTGGTTCTATATTAGAAGGTCTAAAACAACAATCTTCCTCAGAAGATATCGCCACTTTAAAACAAAACAGAGCAAAACCACCAAAAAAACCCCCCTAAAATAATTCATAAAACTTCCATAATCAGAAAGAGAATAGAAAGCTTGAATAATGATTCTTAAAAAAAAAAAAAAACCCTAAGATTTTAGTAGTGAGGTACATATTTCAAGACTCTGGTCAAATTTTTTCATTTACAAAATTTCAGTGTCTTTTATCACAGCTGATTCTACACCTTTTTTAGAAAAGAAGTGACAAAAACAAGAAAGTATCATTGTAACAATCTGAGAGTGACATGTTCAGAATACGTGAGTGAATATAAATGCTAACACTAAGTATTTTAAAGATGCAATCACGTGTGATGCATAACTCCCACTGACAGGCTTTCTTTTTCTAACGGCACCTCCAGAGTTCAAACAGATACTAATCTTAAACAGTGTGGTTCCAATAGCATAAACCTTCCATTAGAAACATCATCAACTGGGGTAGTTCTTAAACATGTTGTATCTTAAATTTCATTCTACATTGTTCTGGAAAAGTCTAACTTTCTACCTGTATCAACATGCCATTATTTCAACAATACTGGGTTCACTGCTACATTTTTAGGAGGAATTCCAGTTTAGATAGATAATTTCGTACACAATCTGGATCAACTAACAAGCATGATTTGATAGGAGGAAATATTTTATACTGTGTAATGGTGTGTCAGAGACAGATGTGTACAGGATAGAACAGGGTTTATGACTGTTGTACGCAGTGTCGGTATGGGTCACGGGTGACTCAATGGCACATAACAACAACAACAATCAGTACTACTGTAATCTGTAAAGCTTTAATTAATGTAGCTAGTATTATTTGGATTTTAGTAAGGTGGAAAACATTTTACATAACCAAATTTACTTAGGTGGCTATCAAGTCCACTGTGACTCAGTTACCCTCTACGACAGAACAGAACTGCCCCTTAGGTTTCCGATGCTACAATCTTTACAGAAGCAGACTGCTACATTTTTTGTCCCATGAGGAGTGGCTGGTAGGTTTGAACCTCTGACCTTCCCAGTTAGCCCTGAAAGATTAACATCTATTAAAAGCAAGCTCACACAAGGAAAAGAGGCGGGAGAGGTAAAGGGAAGTTCACTGCAGTTCTGGAGGACTCACCCCTTTATGAAAGCACAAGTTCTAATTTGGTGTTAAACAATATCTTGATTTAGGGTGAAGACTTGAAAAAACAAATTAAAAAGGCCAACTAAAAATGTTTAAATTAAGAAAATAAAAAAGTGAGGTTGGATTAAATGATAAGTTTTTTAAAAGAACAAGAAATAAAAAAGGAAGTTACAAAACCACTAAAATTGTAAAGAATTCATCTTGCATTCTGTGCTCACAAAAAGGGAAAAGAAGTTCCAACAAGCCCTGCAGATCGCAAAAAGAAGCAGGCGGTTTGCTCAGGCAGCAGGAGAAAAGAGGCCCCGAAGAACTACCCTCATCTTCTTCTAAATCGTATCCAGGAAGGTAAAGCAAAGCTCTGCAAAATGCTGAAGGTTTTAGAAGTGTAACGATGCTTAGGAAAGATCACTGGTCTGGTGGTGCAGCAGCCCCAGTGTTGAGACACACGCTAGGTTTCTAGGAGGAGAAAAATAGAAAAGGAGGAAGAAGTAGGAAGGGGAGGAAGGGCGGAAAAGCACAGGTCATTAGTAAACAGTAAGTTCAACACAGCAAGATGCTCATTAACTCTTTATATGCTATCAGTGATGCTGGCCTACTCGCAGGACTACTGATAAAGTAGTGAGGGACCAGAAATTAGCACTTCCAAAACAGCACTGAACTAGAGGCTCATTAGTGCAGGTCAAATCAGAATGAAGTCATAACATGCTCCAAAACCATGCACCCTCCACTCCCTATTACCCCGACTAAAGAAACATGCATATTTTTAGTAAAGAAATACAGTCAAGAAGTCGAATTTAAAACCCAAACCCCTATTCAATTGCTGAAACTGTATCTATGCAAGGGATAGAAGCATCCAAGAGCAGTAAGACTTGCTCTCATAAGGTCACTTGGCTGCTTAGAAATGGACTAGGTTCTCTCTAGTCTCCAAGGAAAAATAAAGTCTTGACAGAGTAATGGGTAGGTAGGATGCATGTTTTTCCTGTTCTTTCCCCTCAAATTACAAAAATTTGGCAGTGGGAGCAAACACTGTATAGGAGTGTGAGTCTCATCACTCAGACTGTTGAAGAAGAAATTTACGCTAATTTTGATAGTTCTTTCATTCCTGGATGAAAATGGCATCCACGTTCACAACTGGTTAAATCTAATCAATTCTCTCAAACCTTTCCATCGCCTGGTATTGACACTTAAAGTTGCAATTATTACTCTTTTGAAAAGTTCAAGTTTATTCTCCTTTACTCACCAGTTTATTTGTATAAATGTGTTCTTAAAATAAATTTACAAAGACAATTTCTTTCAAAGCAGGCAGAAAACAGTCAATACTATAAGAGAACAAAATTACCAAGGAAATACCTAAATTTAAATTAAAACGTTTGGGAGATAAAGTGACACATATGGTTGTCTTTAGTGTTAAGTTAAAAGTTCTTAAACTAAAAAAAAGAGTTCTTAAATTCATGAGATGCTTATCAGGTCCTTGATGTTACTGAGTAACTAACGCTCTCAATAAAAAGGACCTGTTGTCAAAAAATCAGAGGTAACAGTACTTAAAGAGGTAATAGTATTCCTAAGGTCACAGAATAAAAAAGAGTAAATCTTGGAATAACTGCTATTGCTAACAGAAGGCTTTTTTTCAGGAACCAAGAAACTGTACGGTAGCTTAAGGCCAAGATAGGAGTACAAGGAGAGAACCACAGGAACAGCATGTCTCGTGTTTACACTGCTGTGATGTGAATCAACAGCTATGTCCCTGTTAAGAAGAGCACACTCTACAGAGAACAATCTGCTTGAGCACTGGAACAAGCAAGTCACCGGGCCAGCATGTTCAGTCAGATCACAGCAGCAAATTAACTGTCCTTCATTATAAGAAGCATTAAAACAGACGGAGGTCAATAGCACATGATTCATACTGCCTACCTAGGAAAAAATTTCCATAGTGCGTGCCTATGGGTTCCTGCTACTATCTCAAAGAGTGTGCTCATTAAAAGGATGCTAAGGTAAAGGGGTGGTGCTTGTCATGAAATGGGAACCCACAGGACTCAGCACCCTGGGTGGTGTACAGGTTGAAGGTTCCAGTTCAAACAGAGGAGTCTGAGAAGAAAGGCCTGGCAATCTACTTAAAAAACAAACCCAGCTATGGAAAACCCTCTGGAGCACATTTCTCGTCTAACATTTCATAGGTCATTAGTCAGAGTCACGTCAACTGGATTAATTTCTTTTTTCCTTTCCCAAAAGAATGGGCTAGGATTTAAATTAGAGACAAATTTCTAATGCAACAATTACAGGAGAGAGAAATGAGAAGCAGACTGAGGGCAAAAGAGAAAAGCAAAAACATGTCACCTGTAATGCCTAGGTTTCCTACCACTCATCTCTGCAAAGCAAGAGGAAGGACAGTGTTCATCCAGGGAAGAGACTTGCCTTAAAAAACTTGCAATGGGAAAAGACCTCCAATAGAACAAATTCTGATGATGATTATATTACATTTAGAAAAGCATTTGTTGTTGCTTTGGTTATTATGTGGTATAACTGCAAATATACTAAAGTACTATCAAAGGAAGCTCATACTTCTCATTCCTTTGTTGGAGATTTTATGTAGCAGAAGCCTTAAAGGTATTTTAACAAGAAAGGAAAAGAAGAAGGAAAAAAAAAACTCCCACTAAATCACCTCAAAAAATTCATATGCTTTAAATAAGAACTGTCCTCAAAGGAGATATATGTCTATTGAGATCGTTTCAATTACACCTTTGGGAATCCTGGACTTACCTGTAGTGTCATTCTCTTTTATTTCATGATCTCCATTGGTTAGCACTGCTGGTTTAGAAGATGGTGTACCTGCAAAAACCACAGAAAAGAATTATGTACGGGTAACTGGTAAGAAAAATGACAAACAGATCCAGTTACCATCTTAACTAGTGGATTTTTTTAAAATTCTTCATTGTATTAGCTAAAAGGAGATAAATCTGTCCAAAATTTAAAATCCAGAGATTAGACAGCAGAACTGAAGCCCAACACCTGCCAGGTATCACCACTACAGGAAAAGTCCTTCTTAATAAGCCAGCCTGTCTTTTCTGCCGTGCAAATTGTCAAACATTATCATTAAATTAAAGAGGATTATCATGAAACATACTGGGTACTAGGGTAGCATCTATGATTTTAATAAAACCACCCAAAGACACAGGACTCACATATAAGTCCAGGCTGCATCCACTGCTCCTGGAATTTTAGAAGTAGAGGAGCTTGCTCTTATACTTCTGTTTTGCTTGCTCTAACAGAGTGTAGGAAGCTCTGGTGGCAAGTTCATAGGCAGCTGTGCTGCTAACGACAGGTAGTGACTTTCTGGTAGTTCAAACACCCCAGCAGCATCATGGAGAAAGACGGGCAATCACTCCTGTGAGATGTACAGTTTTGGAAACCCAGTTGAGAGCTATGAGTTCTGACTAAATGACAGTGAGTTTCTTTCTGTTTTAATAGGATGTAGTCATGTCTCATTCCCTAATGACTGACAACGTTAGGCATCTTTTCATGTCCTTATTTGTCATCACTTTATCTGGTTTTGGGGAGCTCTGATGTAAAGTCCACAATAAGTTGCTAACCAAAAGCTACACAACTCCGGTGGTTTCAATCCACGTGTCTCCCCAGGAGAAAGGTGGCCATTCCTGCTTTACAGTATCAGAAATCCTACAGAGGGTTACTATGAGTTAGAACTGATTAAGCTACAGTGAGTGAGTGAATGATACCTTCTTTGGTAAACTGAGTAATAATTTTTTTAATTACTTTTGATTGGATTATTTGTTTTCCTAATATTGAATTCTGAACTCTTTAGCTATCCTGAATACTGAATGAATTTTATAAATATTTTCTCCCACACTATAACCTGTCTTTCTCTTTTCTTAAGTGTGTCATTTGGAGAAATTGTGATGAAATTTAATTTATAATTTTTTCCTTTCACAAATTATTCTTTTAGTGCAATAGTTAAATTTTTCTTCATTTCAAAGTCACAGTATTCTCTACTTTGTTTCGTCTACGTATTAAGATTTTACACTGAAATCCTTTATCTGGTATAAGGCAGCTCTGTGGTAAGGAAGTGCACTGCCAACGTGAAGATCCACAGTCAAAAACCAGCAGTTGTTCCAGGGAAGAAAGATGGGCAATCTCCTCTTGTGCAATTCACTGCCTTTGAAAACCTGTTGTAGGGTCAGCTACGGGTGAATTCTGATTCAACAGCATTCAACAACTATGTCTAGCATAAATCTAGGTTTGTATTTTGCTGGAACATCTAACTGTTTCAGCATTATTTGCTGAACAGAATGTTTATATTCCATTAAACTACCTGCACCTTTGCCAAAGAGGGACAATGATGCTGGGAAGGGTGGAGGATCAGCAAAGGAGAGGAAGACCCTCAAACAAGTGGACGGACATTGTGACTGCCACAGTGGACTCTTGTGTGTCAGGAAGTGTGGGGATGGCACAGGGTAGAACAGGGTTTTTTGTTCATAAGCTATGAGTCATAGTCAACTCGACAGCACCTAACAACAACAAAACTCAGAACTATATTTTGTTCCACTGATTTATAAACCTATCTATCTTGCCAGTACCACAGTTTTGATTACTGTATTTAAAAATTAAGTTTTCTGGCAAGATGCTGCACTGCAATCCCAGAGGTACATGTTTCAAATCCACCAGATGCTCTGCTAGAGAAGGAGGGGCAATCTCCTCCTGTACAAGTCAGATCTGATTTGACGGTACACATAAAAATAATACAATAAAAAAAAAAACAAAAAAAAGTTAAGTTTTCAAGTCAGGTAGTAATGTGAGTCCTCTAACTTGGGTACTGACTATTCTGATCCCTTTGCATTTCTAGAAAAAGTTTAGAATCATTTGTTGATTTAATTTTTTTAAAAGTCCTGAAAGAACCTTGATTATAATTGCACTGACATATAGATTGGTTTAGGAATGTAAAACCACATCTGAAAATCTGACTATGTCATCCAACATTTCAGCAATTTGCTGGCTCTACAGTCGGCCTGTGACCCAAGAGTTTCCTATGAATCACTCTAAAGAACCTCACAGAAACCTTTTTATAAGATAACAAGTGACAATCTAGAACACATAACCAAAAATAGAAAATGCAAGATTATACTTTGAATCACAACAAACTATGCTGTTCAACTTTCTGGTTCCCACAAATTAAAGGCAGCTATCTTTCATATAAACTTTTCACTGAAAAAGATCATCTGTTATCTCAGAGAAACAACTTATGGGGACCAAAAAGACAAGGCAGATAAAAAAGAGAATCAATTAACTGGAAGAAGGAGTCAGAAATAAAAGGATGAACGATAAAGACTTTTATTAAACAACAACTATGTACCAAACATGCCAGGTCTTATATAGTGCTGTTTTACTTATCTAAAGAGAGATAAAATAAGTCCCACCACACAAATTAAAGATATTCTCTTTCAACCCCACATAACAAGCTCTTAAAATCTGTTCTTTCCAGATAAAGGATGCATGTATTAAAATTAAAAATCTGCCTCATTTTAGAATGCAGATTACAAGAAAATGTCAATTACTAAAACTTAACATTTTGGCTATGATATTAACAAAACAAAACAATTTTTACAATAGTGTTAAGAGGGATATAGGAAAATAAGATCATACACTGCTAAAGAAAATAACAATTAGAACAATCTTTTTATGAGACAATTTTCAAGTAACATTTAACCTATTTTTAGCTTGCCAAAGAAAAGTTCACTTTAGGTAAGTAGTATATAAAACGGAATGTGAATAAGAAGTTTATTAAGACACTCTTTAAAAATAACAAATGTCACAAACAACAAATGCTGGCGAGATTGTGGAGAAAAGAAACTGGAACCCTTATTCACTGTTGGTGGGAGTGTAAAATGGTGCAGTCACGAGGGAAGGCAGGATGGCACTTTCTCAAAAAGCTGCAAATAGAAATACCATGACCCAGCAATTCCACTGCTGGGAATACACCCTAAGGAGACCATAACCACCACCCAAAAAGATAAATGCACACCCATGTTTATTGCTGCTTTGTTCATAATAGCAAAGAGTTGGAAACAGTCCAAGTGCCCATCACAATTTATAGCCAAGTAACTCACTAACTGATGGAGAATAAACCTGAAGTAGAACGAGGCAGGAGGACTGGAGGAAGACTCATCAACCTATAATACACAGCTGTTACAATCCTGCTTGCAGAAAAGGAAGGGAAAAAAAAAATTTAAGCACTTTCTGAAGAAGAGCAAATACTACAGTCCTCAATGTGGATTACATTTCAAAATCAAGAATGTTGAGAAAAACTCTCATAAATGGACCAATAGGCAACATGATGATAGAGAAAAAGACTGAAGTTGTCAATGATTTAATTTTACTTGGACCCACAATCAACTCTCATGGTAGCAGCAGTAAAGAAAGGAAAAGATTCTTCTTTGTTGCATTTGGGACATTCTGCTTTCAAGGGCCTCTTTAAAGTGTTAAAAGAGTTGAAAGCTTGGTGGCCTAGTGGCTAGAGAAGTGCTGCAATCCCAAAGGTGCACAGTTATAATCTACCAAATTCTCTGCTGGAGAAGGAGGGCAATCTCCTCCTGTGCCAGGAGAATCTGATTCAACAGTAAGCAACAACAAAATAAAATGAAATAAATAAAGTGTTAAATAGCAAGGATATCAATTCAAAGAGTCAGTTACATTAGACTCAAGCCACGGTATTTTCAATTGTTCCATATAGATGGGAAAGTTGAACAATGAATAAGGAAGACAGAAGAAAAAACATCACCACTGATTTTTGTTATTGGGGAAGAGTACTGACAATACCACGGACTGTTAAAAGAAGAATTAAATCTCCCCTGGAGGAAGTGCAACCACAGTGCTCCTTAGAGACAAAGATGGTGAAACATCAGCACACATAGTTTGGGGCACGTTGTCAGTAGGTGCTAAGCCTTAGAAAAAGACATCAAGACTGAGAAGCAGAAGGTCAACAACGAGAGGACTGAGACAGTGACTGCAACAATGGGCTTAAGTGTCACAGAGATCGCTGAGAATGGTGCACAACAGGATAAAGTTTGAATTTGTTGCTCACAGGATCACTATCAGTCAGTTCCATGGTACATAACATCAACATAGAGCCAGTGAGTTTTCAGTAGCAGAATTTTTAGCATCCAGGTAGAAGACTTGAGTTTGCTTCCTGGACCCTACTTGTCTGTCACTGGTAGACTGCATGTTGCTACAATATTGAACAGGTTTCAAAAGAACTTTCAGGTTTCAACAATACCCTTCTTTGGTCTGAAGGCTAAGCCAGCTAGGACAATGAGGAGCATGAAACTCAGGAAGGGAAATCCAACTGTTAATAAGAATGAATTGTGAAATAAAATGTAATTCGCATGTCTTACCAAGGTAAAAAAAAAAGAACTTTCAGGACTAATATGAACTAACAAGAAAAAGCTGATAATAAATATCAGCCAGTGAAAATCATATAGATAACAATCATGTGAGAGTGTGTGGTGTTAGAGATCTTGAAAATTGGCTTCTCTATCCATTGCATTAGCCCCCACTGGGGGTATGGTATCCAGCTACCTTAACTGTGGACACATGGTCTTGCAAATTATCAACAGCTGTGGGATTAATATAAGAGCATTTTCGGTACTGTGAAAAATGGTGGTGGAGAGTAAAGAGACTGTGGTACTGTTGTGAAGAGACTATGGCAAAGGGTAACCTGAGGAACAATGGAGATGGAGCCATAGTTAAAGGTTTTGCTTACTGGATAACTGAATTGCTGGACAATTGAGGAAACAAGAGTTTTATCTGTGTTGCTAAAC